TCCTGTCTTAGAGTTTGGTGGAAGCAGATTTGGTCATAGTTTTCAGAAGGGCATTGGATAATTATCTGAAGAGAAGGAACCTTATAGGGCTACAAGGAAAGGCAGGTAAGCGGGACTAGTTGAGTTAGATGAATGGGGGCACATTTTGTACCGTAACCATTCTGTAGTTCACTGTGTTGTAACCACCCCAGATATGTGGATGTCACTGGCTGTATCTCACATCCACAATGAGACCCACTTGTGTGATTGCAGATGGGATTGGCTCTCAGCCACATCTCTCAGTCAATCTGAGGTGCAGATGTCTCTGTTGATTCTCCCCTCGCTTACCAGCCAACTGGGGAAGATGTTAAGACATGGAAATATATTACCAGCAGCTACATAGGAAAACAATTCTTATTGTTAAAACAAAATAAAAGTACTGCTTTTGTTGCAGATATGACCTAAGAACAAAGTGCTGGAGAACTTCAGCAGATCTGATAATATCCGTGGAAACAGAAACTGAGTTAACATTTTGTGTCTAGTATCACTCTTGCTTGCAACACATTCAGAATGCTGGACTAAGTCAAATCGGACTGGAAACGTTAACTCCGTTTCTCTCTCTGCAGATGCTGCCAGGCCTGCTGAGTTTCTCCAGCAATTTCTGCTTTTATTTCTGGTATTTCAGTTTCATCCTCGAGATGTAATAATCACCAACAAACACGAGGGACGCAACTGGCAGCATCAACAGTATAAAATTACATTATTCCCTTCTGCAGAGTTTTAAAAAAAAAGTTTCTAGTAGTTATCTTTAAATTTCCTCACGTATGTTGTAGAAATCTGAATTTTAGAAGCCTAGGTTGAAGGTTTTTGGAACTGGTGGGGTGGATACTGTCATTGTCCTTAGAAGATGATTACACAGCCTGCCCCTGATCACTGTCCAATGACTCCTGTTGGAGCTAAGGCCAGTATTCACCTGGTCAGCCTTCACACTCTTTAGAGTTGTCTTTCTTTTTCTTGAATGGGATATGGGAATCGCTGGCAAGGCCAGCAATTGTTGCTCATCCTTAATTGCCCTTGAGCTGAGTGGCTTGCTAGGCCATTTCAGAGGTCAGTTAAGAGGTTTCCACATTGCTGTGGGTCAGGATTCACATACAGGCCAGACCGTTTGGGAATGGTCGGCTTCCTTTGCTGGAAGGCATTTGAGCACCAAAGAAGTTTTCACGATAATAGATGATAGTTCATAGTTAGACAGACTTTAAATTCCTGATCCGTTACTTGGAACAGGAGTAGACCATTCAGCCCTTTGAATCTGCTGTGCCATTCAGTTAGATCATGGCTGTTCATCTACCTCAATGGCATTTTCCCACACTATCTCCATGTACCTTAATGTCATTAGCCTCCAGAAATCTATCCGTTTCTGCTCTGAACATACTCAATGATGGAGCTTTCACAGCAGAGTCTCTGTGGGCTGAATGGCCACTCCAGTACTGCAACTAGAGTTGTCAAACATCAAAGGATAAAGTTGCCCAAACAAATTCCGAATGAGCAAATGCTATCATGTTTCATTTAACACACTTGAAAGGGATCTGAGTAGGTAGGTGGTGCAGAATGTAGTAGAAAGGTGAAGGCGTTATGCAGGTAGTTACATGCTGAACCTGGAGCTCTCGTTGTCTTTCAGGCTTTGGGTGCGTCAATTTGGAATGCAACAAATTAGCATTCAGCCATGTTGGTCCTGCTCAGTCAATTACATCTGGGCTTGGCGAGGACAATGCTCCAGCCCCGTTCCTCAGGAGACTAGATGTACCGGGCTAAATTATTCAGTTGCAAGTCGCTCTTGATCTATGGTCAGCAGCAGAGTCAGTGCTTGCTCCTCACTCCTGTATTCCACATTGCCCCTTAGAGAAATGGGAAAAGTACAACAATCCTGGCGTCTGCTTTTTAAAGCATTTGTTACCCTGACTTGTGCAAAAAGGATGTACACATTCAGCAGACTGAAAGCCTTATATCCGGGTCAGGCATTTTGGAACTTGTTATTATTCTACGGTTTGATCCAGATAAGTGGATTAATTAGCTGCAGGAATCAAACCTCAGTGTGTTCAGTTCACCCAGAGATCGTTTAAAGCTGGCTTTGTTTCCAGAGTGCAGAGTTTTCACTGCACCTCTGAAAGCTCATCCACGAACACACGTACTTGAGTTTGAATTGATTTCAATTGGACGTAACTGGCAAGGCGAAGGCTTGTCAAACCTGTAATCAAGATGATTGCACGAGTGGCTGTCTCACTTGTTATTTTGAGCTCTCTCCAGCTCTCTTAGGAAATGGTGTTGGAAAAACTCAACAGGAAGAGTTGGGATATTGGGAAAAGAAATAAGTGCTATGCCCACAACACTATTGATTACTTCTTTTGGTCACTGAAGTGTGTGTGTTTGTGACACAGACCATGTTAATACCATCAGAGATGTCATTACAGCTATGACAGGAGACACTCTACCAGATGAACCAAACCTTCACTATATTTGCTTTATGCTTACCACTTAGTGAGCAGCTCTATGTTTTAACAGCTTACTCTATTTACATCAAAATAGATTGAGAGACTTGGAAACTGTTTTAAAAATTGTTGTTCCTCTGTGAAATATGAACAAGCTATTTTGTTGTATTGTTGCAAAAGATGCATTGCGGCCATTCACCGAGACCTTGCTGTGGGCAGGAGGGACACTCGAGCAGAGGAACTAAGCGAATCCTAAACAACCAAACTTTGTTTTGCAGCTGCTGGAACTTTTGAGCCCTCCCAAGTGTGTTTGGATTGATTGGCGTCATATTTTAAATTCTGTCCCAGAGTTTTTGCATAGCTTCCACACCTTCCCTCATGAATAGTTGCAACAGTTCGCCAAAGTCAACTTTGGGACAGCAAGCAAAGACTCAGTGCACTGGGACAGAGTTAGAGGCAGTCCCTTCTGGGTCTGGCAAGTGACCCCTGCACACTCTGAGAAATGGGGATAGAATTAGAGGTGGCGGTGATGCCTTCCACAGTCAAGTAGGCTGATTGTATTTTCCGCCTAGCTTCGTGCGTGAATGATGCTCATGTGATACCCGCTACCCAGGGAATCATCTCTATTGTGAGCACAAATTTTCAGGAGAGGAAGATGACACCGGGCAGAGATTTATTTTCTTCAAAAAATGTACTTGGTTCTGTTTTTTCATGCAGTCATCTTCAGTTCTTGGAGTGTCGAAGATGTTGCTGCATTTCCCTATCTCATTGAATTGTGCCTTTATTCCAAGAGCCTTTTTCAGAGGGTAGTTGGCAGTGCCCAGTTCACCAGCTAGTGAATGGCAGATAGAAATCTGACCACAGTTTACATCTTGCTGCTCCCCTGGCTCTCAGTCACATTATTATTAATGATTTAAAAGCAAGTTGCTTGTCAGGGATTGTTTAACTCTGTGGGTTTGTTCATTTAAAACAATAAAACACATAATAAGCTATTAAGCAGACATTACAGCAAACAACTGATTCCTGCAAGTGTGCAGCTCGCACACCTGCAGCAGACAATGTTGCAGGGAGACTCACAGCAATGTATACACACAGCACAAGGAGGTCTCCAAGATGAGATGATAGAGGGAAAACTGAGAAGCTGTGGACTACAATGAGAGACATAGGATTGAGCAGTGTAAGAAAGAATGTAGGTAGAAATCAAGGTGAGTTTTGAGATGAGGGGTAGTGTTTAATTGGGTGGGAGAATGGGGATCCCATTTCCTTTCCTCCTCTGCTCCAATTATTTCTGGTGTAAGAAGACCCCTGGTGAGGAGGTGGTGGTATGAGGAGTTGCATTGTTGTCAGGCGCTCAGTTACAGATCAAGGGAGCTGGCTTGGTGAAAAATGGACTTGGCAGGATGGTGAAGAGTCACCGCGAGTCATGCTGTTTACGTTGATGAGTGTGGTTGGAGAAGGGCATTCCTTGCTTTACTCAGTCTCGATACCTGATTTATAGTGGACTTGAAATGAAGCTAAAGAAGAACGCCCCCAAACGCAATTTTATTTCCAGGGCAGAGGCTAAGGAGATTTATGGTAAAGCAGTAGACTGGAAAAATGCAATTTTGGACCAGTCTGCAAACTCCTGTCTTGTTTCATAGGGCTGCATTATCTTAAATTCTGTCAGGATGGAGTCTAATTCCTGAACTTGCAGATGCTTGCATGCTGAGTTTGCAATGCCACACCAGGGCTTAATATAAGTGAGATTTTGCACCAGTCAGCAACTCAGTTAAACAGCAATTTATTGTTAGTTTCAGTGCTGTTTGTATAGCAATCAACACTCAGAAATCACCTGTATTGTTGCTGGGGATCTGTTTGTTTCTTAGTCCACAGTTGTATCTGCTCTAGTTCCTAAACTTCAGCAGAATTTACATCATCATCTGTAAACATTTGCTGGCAACGCTACATTGTTAGGTCTGCAGAGTTTACAGAAATGACTCAGGCTCCTGAATGGAACTTCTACACATGACACAACCTATTTAGTATAACTTAACTCTCAACCTATTTAGTATAACATAACTCGATAGGAAACCCTTGCTCAGAACTTGGCATCAGGGACGTAAAAACAAGAATTTCAACGTTTGTGACTACAGTCCATGCTAAGCTGAGGGGGCCAAGCAAAGTTTAAACCAAAGGCAAGATGCTGGAAGACTGAAATATAAACATGTTGGAGATGCTCAGCAGTCCAGGCAGAATGATCTGCTGAATATTTCAGCACTTTATGTTCATTTCATTCCAAGAAACAGAGGGTTCATGGGCCAGGTTATCAAGGCTTGGGGCTAGTGATTTAGACACCGTAAGGCCTAAAGTGTGTGAACGGATATCCTTTGAGTCTGGAGCAGAAGAGCTGTGATCTGAATAGCCAGCAGGGACAGATGAACAGAATGTTGGACTGATTTGTTTTCTGGTGACTTGTAAACCAGGCCATTTCAAATGGCAATGCAGAAATAACATGATGTGTTTTAAAATAAACTTGTGCTTGATTTCTTCAAACAGACCTTAACACTCAAAGCCCCTGCCTGAGTGTTGAATGTGAGTTTGGAGCCAAGTGCATTGTGAAGAATAATAAAGCTGTGTGTGAGTGTCAGCAGAGCTGCCAGAATGTGTACGCACCAGTTTGCGGGAATGATGAACATATATACGGCAATCAGTGTGAGTTGGAGGCCATGGCTTGTATTCTGAAAAAGCGCATCACCATCAAACACAAGGGTCCCTGTGGTAAGTCAAAAATCGAAGTTATTCAACTCAGTTCCCGAAGATTTTATTAAAATAGAAGCGCTAACTGCTGGTAATTGTGTTTCCATCTTACTAATTCTATATTTTGTGTACGGGTTGAAAGTATGAAATGGAAATTGAATCTTGCCAGTTTTGCAGCACTAATCATGAGTGTTGTTATTTTCACCTCTCTCTGTCAGATTTTCACAAATGCAAACTTCTCTTGGCTCAGATGGTTCTTACAAAATGATTCCATTCCCTAGTGATTCTTAAAATCATACAATCTGGAAAGAGGCCATTCAGTCTGTTGAGTCTGCACCAACACACCAAAAAAAATGCCACCCAGCCCCGGCCCCAGCATTCCCCAGAACCCTGCATTTACCATGGTTAATCCACCTAACCTGCACATCCCTCGAATAGGAGGTAATTTAGTATGTTAGGTTACCCGTACTGTTGGACTATAACCTGGTGTCGTGTGACTTTGTCCACCCAAGTCCAACACCAACACCTCCACATCTTGGCTGCACATCTTTGGACTGCAGGAGGAAACCGGAGCACCCAGAGGATCCCACGGAGAGACGGGGAGAACACGCAAACTCTGTACAGACAGTCGCCTGAGGATGGAATTGAACATTATTCCCCGGTGCTGTGTTAACCAATTCTTCCTTTCATTCTCTACCACTGTACTCTAGTTATCTGACCGAGCTTATTCAAAAGGATAAAGTCAAGTTAGTTATGCATGCTGGAACATAGTAATGCTCCTTCTCATTCTCATCATGGAATGTTAGGCGAGATTGCGTGGCCAAAATCAGAGCTAGGGTCTGAGGTTCAGATCCCCTTTGTCTTTCTGAGGTCATCAAGAAAGTGGGGAGAAGTGAAGAGACTGAATCCAGGGGGAAGCAATGGCCTAGTGGTATTATCACTAGATTGTAAATCCAGAGACATGTTCAGGGCATCTGGGTTTGAATTGCACCAGGGCAGATGGTGAAATCTGAATTGAGGAAAATCTGGAATTAACAGCCTAATGATGAACGTGAAACTGTTGTTGATTGTGAGGAAAAGATTCACTTATGTCCTTTAGGGAAGGAAAGTGCTGTCCTTTCCTGATCTGGCCCATATGTGACTGCAGACTCACAGCAATAACTTCTATTTCTAATAAATGATGGTCTAGCCAGTGATGCCCATGTCCAGTGAGTGAATAATAAAGTAGGACCACATTATGGTGGTGTGGGTCTTGATGTTGCTCTTTCTTTATTTCAAAAGTATACTTTATTCATAAAACAAATCTGTTTGTATATACATAGTCACAAATGCAGTTCAGTTCAGTTCAGTACAATAGCATATCAAGGAAACAAACAAATATTTGAGTTTGACTCGATCCCAACAAAGCAAAGGCATCTCTTACACGTACAAGTCTAGATGTTGCTCCCCTAGTAACTGGAATCATTGTCAATGCCCCTGTTATGATGCATGGGAATGCAGCTGCCAGGAAAACACCTTACTTGATGGTCATGTGACTGCACATATATTCCGATTGAACCAAGCACTGAAAACATTGACAACACATAAGACTAACCTTTGAAGAATTTGTTGGCTAGCATCCAGCACCTCTCATGCAATGCATCCTCTCGAGATGTTAAGCTGTCTGGTCTGGGGCTGCTAACTCTGGTTGGACAGATTCCTGAAGGTTTTGTCACATGACCTCCCACCTCAAACTCTCCAGCCCCCACTCTCCTACCATTGGTCAGCCCCCAGTGCCCCTCCCTGCAGGCCACCATACTGTTGCACCAATGGGAAGGTGAACACACTCCACAGCGTGATACTGAGCTTTTAGTCAAACAATGTTTTTTTTAAACCTACCTCCAATATCTTCACAGCAAATAAATAAAAGAATTTAAAGGTGATGGAGAAAAGCCAGGATTTTTATTGCCTCTCAATCTTTGTATTGCTTGGTGTATTGTGCTGGAAATTAATGTTAAATTTACTTGCACCATGTCCTGTTCCTTGCTTTGCTCACCAACCTGCATTGATTCCCAGCTAAAGAACGCCTCCATCGTAAAATTCGCCTCCATACGGTTTTCAATCACTCCATGACTTCATCTTCCATTTCTCCAGCTCAAAAACCCAGTTGAGATTTCTGTACTCCCCAATATGGGTCTCTTGAGCATCCCTGATTTTAATTGTGTCACTACTCGTGGCCACACCTTTCACTGCAAGGGCCAGGAACTGGACAATTACCTCTGTAAACCTCTTTGACTCTGTAGCTCCCTCTCTTCGTTTAAGATACACCTCTGAACATACCTCTTTGACCAAGCTTTTTAGCCACCTGTCCTAATATTGATTTGTGTGGCTTGTGTAGCAATGAGACATGGGTGTCCTTGTACACAAGTTGCAGAAAGTAAACATGCAGGTGCAGTAAGCGGTGAAGAAGGCAAATGGTACCTTGGTCTTCACAGTGAGAGTATACGAGTACAGGAGCAGGGATATCTTGCTGCAATTGTACAAGACCTTGGTGAGACCACGCCTGGAGCACTGTGTGCAGTTTTGGTCTCCTTATCCATGGAAGAATGTTCTGGCTATGCAGGGACTGCAATGAAGATTTACCAAACTGATGTATGAGGAGCGACTGGATCAGTTAGTAGTATGTTCAGTGGAGTTTAGAAGAATGAGGGGGAGTTCTCACAGAAACCTATAAAATTCTCACAGACTAGACAGGTTAAACAAAGGAAGGATGTTCCTAATGGCCGGGACCGATGTTTAAGAACCAGGGGTCATAGTCTATGAATTACGGGATAGCTCATTTAGGGCTGAGATGAGGAGAAATTTTGAGCGCGAAAGGGATCAAAGTGTATGGGTCGAAAGTGGGAACAGGGGACTGAGTTGGATGATTAGCCTTAAGCATATTGAATAGCAGAGCAGGTTTGAAGGGCTGAATGGTCTACTCCTGCTCCTATTTTCTGTGTTTCTTATGTTGATGTCAAATTTTGTCAATGTTGTAACACCCTTTTGAAATACCTCAGGACATTTTATTATATTAAAGGTGATATATAAATGCAAGTTATTGTTGTTGCTTTATCTGCTGGGAAATTCTAGGAAAATCATGAACGGTTGACCTTATTGTCTGGTCCCATTTTCAGCATCCTGTTTACCCTGCAACCTAACTGTGCTCCACCAATTTTTAGTGACATTCCATTAGTCTCTGCTAGCTAAAAGAATGAAATGTTTTAGGACTGACTAGTACACAAGGTCACCAAATGTTGATTATGGTAAATTGTCGCTAAGCATGGCTCACCTTTCAGGGGGGCTATCCAGAGGGAAGAAAAACACCGTCAACTGCAAGAAGTGAGATACTTCTGTCTCATGGAACAGTCTGTAGCTGGTTTGGAACCAGGCACACTAAAAGCAGAAAGCTGAAAAGCAGCAGAGGAGAGAAAGGATTGTGTTGGATAGTTCATGTAGACTGTTGTCATGATTATTCACTTGCGCACTCTCTGGTCACTTGGCTACTTGCTGCCGAAACATGGCGCAGTCCTGCAGATAGATTGGCAGATGGCCTTGATCTTCCGAAGTTGCCAGGCTGTGTCTGACTATCAAGAGGTCAGAGAATAAATTAAAAGAGATGGGAGCGGGTGTCTGGCTGAGAGGCCGTTAGCTATTCAGAAGGAAACAAAAACGGAAATGGCTGGTGAAACTCTGGAGAGAAAACCAAGTTAACATTTCAAGTCCTGTGACCCTTCTTCATAACATCTGATCATCCAGTTCTTTGCTTTATTTTAGTTATTTTTCTTCAGTTAAGGTATTACTTATGCTTCTATGGTTGCTTGGTAAAGGATTGATATTCTATGTGACACTATTAATCTGAGGCCACACAACAAAGGATCAATTAATTATTAGCTGACTAATTTGCTCACAAGTGGCTTCAAATATTAAAAACAAAATTTCATCTGAGGTGTGTGGGCACATGAAAGTTTTATGAAATGTCCTTGGAAAGTTATATATTCTGTCAGGGGTCCAAATTTCTGTCTTGATAAGCTGCCCATATGCACATAATCCGTGTATAAATATTAAATGAATGTTCTCATTAATTTACATTGAATGGGGCAGGCCGCTCGACCCTTATGTCATTGGCTATATGTATATTTCAGGCTCAATTCAAGATTTATAAATTACCCCTGTATAATACATTAGAGTTAAATACAACTCTTTCCAAATGGAGTCATGGAGTCACAGTGATGTACAGCACAGAAATAGACCCTTCAGTCCAACTTGTCCATGCAGAGAGGAAAACAGGGTTAACGTTTTGAGTCCAGTGATCCTTCCTCAGAACTGGTCTGTGGAGCTAGGTTCAAATCCAACCGTGACAGTTGATGAAATGTAAATTTGAAGGTGGGGGGGAGCGAGATTGAAATTAAAAGTCTAATGATAGCCATGAAAACGTTGTCAATTGTTGGAAAAACCCTTGTTCATTACTTCCTTCTGGCAATTCCCTTCCCTCCAGAGCCACAGCAATGTGTTTGACTCTGAACTGCCATCTGAAATGGTCAAGCAAGCTGCTCAGTTTAAGGGTGTTTAGGGATGGCCAACAATGCTGGTCTTGCCAGCAATGGCCACAGTCTGTGAAAGAACAAAGAAAAATTTCAGCTTTCTACTCAGTCTGGAACGTTGCAGCAACATTAGGTTTGGGAGGGACTGGAATTCATTAGGTTTTTCATCTATGTTTGACCATCAGGGGTCAACGGGCAACCTTCATTGAATAGAAACAATCAATGTGATTTCTCCTGGGCCTGGAAACATGGGATGGTCATGACCTCAAACCTCAGCAAGTGAGCATTTGTTACAATTCCAGACAGTTTTAGTGCCAGCTTGTCACTTCAGGCTGGTTCTGTGTGATAGATTTAAGGACAGCTGTTTTAGCAATCTTGTCCTCATCGAAGCGTGTTTTCACTCCAGTAAGCTGAGTACAATGACGACTTTTTAAAAGGAACTGGATTTAGGTTTAAAAG